ATAACGAATTCTGCTGTCAATGCTCAAAAAGCTAGGCAGAGAGGGATCTAATTGTAAGATGTTAATGTTATCTGTTAGCTATTTATGCTTCATTAAATCAAACATACTTGGTTTGAATCGTCTTTAACACTGTCTTTAGGCCAAAATGTTTTTGATAAAAAATGTGAGATTGTTTCAAGCTTTTTCTTCCAAAACACAATGCGCAGAAATTTGTAAGAATTTGGAGTGAAGGGTTCATTATCGCTTTAGATCCAATCCTAGTGTCATCAAAAACGCTGTTGTATTGGACGCTGTTGACACATCTGGCCGCTAACAGAATCAACTCAATGGCTATGCAGGAATTATTGAATTAGTGATTATATGACTTATGAATCAAATGTGTACGATATTTTGTGATCAAACAAATTTCTCCAATTTCGCAAGATTTAAACGGAACAATCAAACTGAGTTGAGAATAAAATCTTGCTGCAGTAATTCAAAAATATTCTCTGCTATTTAGCGGCTTGAGATTGGAGCTTCAAAGAATATGAAGCTAGTTTTGAGCTTCTCCGAGATGAATAAGATCGAGCTGTCAAAGTTGTTTGCGTTTTTTATAGTTTGAATTCGACTAACAGTTCAAGGATGCCACGTTAAGATGCTATAAATATATATATTCCGCTCATAAATCACTTTTCCTGAGTCAAAATTCATCCTATCTACATCGATACTTTGTTTATGGGCTCTGGCGAGAGCACGAAATCGTAAAGATGTACAAAAATTTTCTTTGATTCAGCCTATCATGAGTTTCACTTTTGTTTGGGCACTGGTTATACCTCACCGATTCCAGTCACCGCAGTTTCATACGTAAACAAGATTTGGCAGGTTTGCCTCAATTCACAAAGGTGACATCAATATGCATTTGAAATTCGCGCGCGTTGAATTTGCAGACATCTGGCAAATTGCCAAATCACGCGGAGATCGCGACTTGGTAGAATCGCTTGAGGTATGACCGATACCTTTGAGTTAAAGTCGACTCGGGAGACGCGCATGCAAATCAACAAATCGTAGTAGTAGTAAGACTGATTAAGTGATAGGAACAGTGGGAATCATCGACTACGGAGATTGCAAAGCCTGTGTGGGAACACGCAGAGCATGAGCCGCTTTGTCGGGCGAAAAGCTGCCACAAAAACATTGAGTTGACACAATAGCAAGACGTCGTCAGCGTATTCAGGACATTCTGAACGTGGATGCGAGTCAGATGTAGTGGTCCGACAGCGACCGCCATCTGTTATGAGAGTATGAGACGCGCACGAGTTGGCGACAAGTAACGAGAGGAATAAACGCGAGAACAAGGATTGTTGGCAATACCAGCGGCTCTGAAAGAGAATGTCATTAGCCGGGGCGTAGGAATAAACACCATAAATCTCTTTACTCCGCGGTCGCACATTTTCGCATTCACTGAGGCGTTGTGACCAACCCAAAAAGCTGTGATGAACCCTTCTAATGAGCTGGCAGCGATTCAACAGAACAAATTGCGCGCTGAACCTCCGCTCACAATCGCTTCCGTTCTGCCCGCGCCTCGCTATCAGAGTCGAGCTCGAGCGAGACTGATGGTCCCTACTCGCCTTTTGGATCTGCTGTACACTTTGCAGGTAGCTTCCAAGGAAGCATAAGATGTGAGCTGAGCTGAGTTCCATTTTTACTTGCTCAGAGAGAGTGAGACACAAAGTGTTGATTGCCAAGGGGGTAGACTAGCACTGACATTTGATATGGTGCAGAGCGGAGGAGGGCTGCGCTACATGTTAAGCGACGGCGCCAGCTCCGAAACGATGAAGACGATATCATTACTTTACTACGAGCATGTAACCCCTTCCCCTTAATTCTCGCATGATCATAGCTGCCTTTTCGAATGATTCATTCACGTAGAAAACAAATTGAATGGAGTAATCTGTTGCTTGACGCTAATTTGAGACACTCAGTGCTTTACTTTCGCATCCTCTCTGCTCTCTGCCTTCTCCCCCCCCCCCCCCCCCCCCACTGCAATGTTAGCGCCCGAAAACCATTAATCAGCAGATCTCGCCTGGATTTCATCGAGACTCTTGCCCATATCCAAAACAGCGGCTGCATATCGTTACTATGACCAAACATCAGGTATTAGATGGCTGCATGTTTGTCGAAGTATCTTTTGAAAGGAACTTTTCATTTTAGGATTTATTGGTGAAGTCTTAGCGGCTTTACTGAACTAGGTGTTTTCAACTCGAGCGAAAAATTCCAAAAATATTTTTTTTTTGCTGAGGGTGCCATCGTCGGCCTTTCATTCTGCTGCAGATGGTAACCAAGTAGTGATTGCCAAAAGATTGACAAAATGACTTCTCCAAGCTTTTCTACAAAATTTTCTGCTTTGATAATGAGTAAGTATTCATGCGGTTAACCGTTGGATAGAGAGACGTGGCCCCAACAGGGTGATGGCATTTACAACCATAACCAAAATTTCATATGGAGAAACAGATGCCAAGATCCAGAAACATAGGATTCTGTCTGCTTGAGATTATCACAGACACGCATACTATTACATGTCTACGTAGGATGCAAAAAGAATTCTTGCTCAATAAACTAAAAATTGAGGGGAGAAAAGTGGCAAACTCCGCCCACCTGCTCAAATATATGCTGCATGCAAATGTGCGTATTTACTCTTCTATGCGTGTTTGACTGAGATAGCAGTTTTGCCCTGCATATAAGTTTTCTGGCAACTCAATACATTTCTACAATCAATTCCTTCAAAGAGTTTATGTCTAGGAAAAAAGAGAGGGAGAAATTGCCTCGATTATCGGAACCGCATCCTTAGTTCCTTAGAGTAAAAGACTGATGCAGAAAAGTTGAAAACCACAAGAGCATCACATCTGAAGTTTTCAAGCGATTAGAACGAGAAGGGTCGAGACAGCTATATAGGCAGAAAAAGCTAATATAATTTTGCTCTTTCTAGAGGGTTTTATCGACGCGTTTTGCCTTGCGAAGACATATAGCGGATTAATGGAACCATGAAAATCTGAACGATGTAAGCATGGGTGCTGCCATTGACATCAATCTCAGACATATCCGCTGACGCTGGGGCGATAATGAAGTGGTAAAATGAAACCAAGCAGAGCACGGCCCTTCTTCTTCTTCTCCTTGAGTCAATATTTGGAAAAAAAATTCACGTGGAAGGTGGGATTCGAACAAAAAGATTTATGAAGCATCGCCGCGGTAGATGTTTATTCGATGTGTGATTTATTTTCGGTTTAGACATTCTGAAATGCAAACTGATGTGAGTTTCATAGCAACTAGCCCGTTTTTCCCTATTGGAAGAAAAATTTTGCAATTCACACTGTTTTGAGGCTAGACGTTGCTGAGACAGAAACTTTTCCGCCAAGATAAGAATTGCAAAGAAGCAAGGACAAGTTTGGAAAATGTATACTGCTTCATTAGGAGAAGGCGAATTTTCAAAAAATTAAAGAGTAGCGTTGAAGCGATGAGAGGATAAAATTCTACAATAAACAAGTGTTAGAAAGCGAACATACTTTGCGATCTATTATTTGAAAATAGTAGACTAAGAAATTCCAGTTCAATAGAAATCATTCCGAAGACTTTAGAGCTCATTGTCAGATCAACATTTAGATGGAACTGAGCTATGTTATGAGTGCATTCCTTTACTAGGTTGGTTCCGCCAAAATTCATTGGACGTTAGACCTTTATTTTTAGTCGATGGTATTCATTGTCAAATAAAGAACAGGATTACTTGTTTTGATGGTGTATAGAATTGATTTACTTCAGTCAAATCCACGACTTAGTCTGGTAGCCCAAGATGTCAGTCAAGTCTTGACAACTTCATAATCATCTGCCAGTACTGCGTACAAGAAAATACTGGAATAGGTATGTAGTTTCTATCACGCATCAGATTGAATAAGATTTTGTTTTGTCATCAAGTCAGAGGTGGATTCAACTATAAATAAACATGCCTTCCTCCTCGCGCCTTAATCAAGAATACTCCTTTTCTCGCAACTTATTAAGTTTGCTTCATGAAGCCTAATAATTTTTGTCGTAGTAAACCGCAGTACAAAAAAATGATACGTTGAGTTTATAGCATCTGTTGCACAGAGCAAAATTTATGACACTTTGCAAGCAAAATCTAGAAAGCCTTTGTAGAACAACGTGAGGATTTCGGAAAACTAAGTCGAACCAATTTCCATTTCGAGAAAGGTGAAAAGAGCAAACTTTTGACATTTTCATGAAATCAAAACGTCATGCTTGGGTTTCAATGGAAAGTATTCAGCACATAACCACAAAGCAAAAGATGAGAAGTATGTACCTGAAAGTCAAGAGTCAAAGTCGTGATCATAGTACTGAACAGAAGGAAAGTATTTGTTCCAATCCTGGGTTTTCTTCACTTTTGGTGCTTATAAGATACTGTCAGCGCTTCGTAATCAGGACTCGACACGAGCTCGCACCAGGGAAATTTCAAAACAAATTTCAAACAAAACTTTCCCCTTTGACCCTAAATCCTCAACGTAGAAAAACCCTCAAAAAACGAAACCTCCACTAAGAAAAAGTCGCAACTTCTGTGTCTTTTCGGCCATAAAAACGACATCCCCTTTGCTTTTTGTCCCAAAATTGATATCAAGCTTGACCCGGTGCCAGCTGTGCCAAGGTCTATTCGTAATTATCATGCACGGAAAGCATAAATTGAAAAAGTGTAAGAAGCTATCAAAATCAGATCTTTGTGAAGCGAATTTGATGGACCACTACGGTAGGTGATCTAGTTTTCCTGACAGAACACGCAAAATCCTCAAGTTGCGTATTTTTGATTCACTTTTTCTGCTTGAGCAAGGAAGCCAAGAACGCAACACTTTTGCATCATTTTCATTTAAGTGCAAGTTCTACTTTCGTCATATACACATGCCATGTTTCTTTTGTTCTACGAAAGAGTCATAGGGTCACCCTCTTGCGATGCGACCTGTAATATCTAATTGAAATAATAAACTTACAGGGATTTGTAAAGAAGACGGGATAGTAGCCACGACGCCAGCTTGTCGGTTTCTTTGTCAGGATGAGACCACAATGCTGAAACTGACACATTTTACCCAGTTCTGTGCATGTTTTGATGCCTAAGAGATTTGAAATTCTGCTGTCAGCAGTTGTCACAACGCAACACACAACGCGTAGTAATGCACACACATAAGAAAAGAGAAAAGACATTGGAAACCGTCAAAGAGCATGGTGGAAGATCCATAGAGTTCAGTCTGAGGTTTTCGTGATTAAAAGAACTAGCCGTGAGATACTACAAAAGGTTAGAAGCGTTACAAATACAGATACGCGTGTACACCATGTACTACTTGTTGTTCTCGCTGTTATTGGCATTTCTCTAACATTCCTGTTTCGAAAGCACTGACTAGACATGGGTATTTTGTGTAAAGCAAAAGTTAAGCAAAAGTCTCACCCATTTAACGTTTGGTGTCAGCTTATTTAGCTTCTGTTATCACAGCTGTAAATGCGAAGATATTAGGTTGTCTATAAATCTTTTCATATCGGCGAAAATCAGCTAACCTTAAGTTTTTGAATTAGAGCTTGAGATTTGATAAAGCAACGCAAACTCTACAAAACGACCTTCGAAAAATCGCAAAAAGTTTGATACACGTGAATTTGAAGCCGAAATTCAAAAATCTTCAAATGCCCAAAAAACCGATCTCAGCCAGAAAATTTCTAAGACCTCTAAGTTGCTCAGGTATATGATTCTCACATTAGACATCTACATTTGCTGAATTATTCCATGATTAGAAATCGAGAAACAGAAATTTTCCGAAATTACAAAACTCAAAAGATGTCATTTTTTATGCTAAATTTGTTATTTTTCGAGAAGTAAAGCACTTATTGTTAGAAGGCTGAAAATTTATATTGGTACTCAAAAAGGATTATAGATCTGCTATATAGGACAGCCCAGCATTGCTTTCACGAAAACATTGCTAACATTCATTTCTTGATTTCTAGCAACGGAAAAAATAAAGCAGTGTGTATGTATAATTTTCTTATGTGGAAAGTATATGTTAGAAAAATTAAATTCGTAGGATTTTTTGGACAAAGATTTAATTTTTCAAGAATTTTTTGGACATTTGGATATTTTTTAAAATTCGGATTCGAACTTTGTGTGGATCACACCTGGTGTGAACGTTTGAACGATCATGTAGAATTTGATTTACTCTATCGAAAGATACCCCGATTACCATGAGAAACTTATGAAGGAATTTCTCATGGCAGTAAAGAATCAAATTCGAAAAGACCTAATAGTAAGCTGTTGACTAAGAATGACGGGTATTGAGAGAGATAAAATTCGAGAATGTATGAGGTTCGTTCGTTCAACTACTTTGGACTTACTTTTCTTCTTTACAGCAATATTTTCGAACCAAACTAACTTACGTCGTCAGCATTCGTAATGATTTTTGCACAAAGGAAAGGTCTGGTTCAGCCGCAACGAACAATAGTAACGTTGTGCCTTCTGAGAAGATGAGTTGGTGGGAGAAAGCTTATAACTGGTAACCGTAACTTGTAGTTTCCAACTTCTCCTTTATAGAGTACATATCATGTTCAGCTATCAACAAAGTCAACAGAGGGCATTTTTTACCAGATTCACATGAGCCGGATTATATTCATTATATCAAGGAATATTTGACAAGCAAGCAATTTTCCCAGTGGTTCTTGCACTCGTGAGAAGCAAAAGTTGACTGTACCTAGTCGGGGCATTTCCCATTTTACACACTAGCCAAAGTTAGCTACATACATGAGAAAGCAATAAGAGTTAATAGATAAAAAATCTGGAGAAGGAACAATGTGCATTAGTATAAGAAATCAATAATTACCTCTATGGAGCGATCAGGTTGCAAACAATTTTTGTACAGTGCGCGCTTTTCTGCACTCCCACCTTCCCCTTTTCCTACCACCTCCATTGTTTCATACATTCGTTAAATTAACCTTACTGTATCGAAGCCTACGATTCATCCCAAAACAAAAACTTGAGCGTATGTAGACTTAGCTTGCAGTAGTTTTTTCTATGGCATGTTCAGCTATCTTTTCCACGGAAGTCCTTGGCAGAACTTGATAGGAAATCATGCACTATCGCTAGTAAGCAAAGAATGTATTATGTAAAACGATACTACGTTGATACGTAAGTCTTGCATAAAACTTTTTTTGGTATGCTCGTATCCTTTTCGTTTCTCAACAAATTCTTTCATGGGTACTAAAAGAAAGAAAATTATGCGCTTTCCAGCTGTTTTCATATGCTTGTTACATACTGCTAAAAGTGGACACCCACTCTTTGGCTTTTGAAATTCGGCCGATGAAAACGTTTAATAGTCCAGTGTAATCTGAGCTATTTTATTCTGGATTGAGCTACTCTTTCTTACTAGGACAGATTCGTGGTGACTGAATGTCTACTTGAGTTTTTTAAACATCTTTAACAGTCTCAAATAATTCTCTATTATGTTTTTGTATACTACATTTATTACATGTAACAAAGACCTTTTCGTTCAGGCAAAGAGTTTAATGTAATTAGTTTTATTTAACATTTTTAATCGAATTAACATTTCTTGGGCAAGACTAACGTATCAACTCAATATCTGGTTCCAAGTGGCTTTACGCCTACCCTTAAATGCCACTAAAATTATGAATTTTCATTCCATGATGTAGTTAAGAATGAATTAGGCTACTGTTATATTACTCACCCCGCCGAAACACGTGGTGCTCTTTTTCCGAAAGGGTTTTTATACAGATGTCGAGGCTCGCATGCATATTTGCCATAGCAAAAATTTCCAATTATAATGTAATTCAGTTGTAAGAAGATTGTTAACATATAAACGTGATGAACAGTGATCGTTTGAGTAGAGAATGACGTTGTAACACAAATGAATTCTAATTATTTCTCTACAATGTCCTATCCAATCAACGTGAAAGGCTCTAACATCTGAAACCCATGAGTTGCTTGAGACAGAAGAGAATTAAGTGATTTGTTGAAACTATTGGATGAATTAAAGTAACATGCAGTCTAAGGAGTGTATTCGCAGCTTGAGAGTTTTTTCATCGCTCTATGCTCATGAGAGTGAGCATAGTGCAATTTTATGCAAAAGTGATATCGAAGGTGTCAATTTAACACGTCTAACTGGAACACTATAAAGTATGGATCATTATTGTTTGAAAGTAGTTCAGATATATTTTTGGTCATCTCAGATTCAAAATAGAATTTGGGATGCGCGTTTCGCCCCACATCTCCGAAGGAGCGGGCTGGCAAAAGCGCGCATCCTTCGACTTTAACTATTCATCCGTCATAGAAAGCTTTACAGATAGCTGTGCCTCAGCAAAGCACCAGTGATTTGTATGGCATTTTATAATATATGGTGAAAACGTCATTTGGGATAGAAAACTCAGTTTTCCACGTATTTTTCGCACTTATTATCACGAATTTATAGGACCTAACGCAACAATGCAGTCAGATGTATGATTGTGTCCCACAACATCAAAACCTGTTACTCACATCACTAGTCCTTTAAGAAGCAACCAGTGCAGTCCTATCAAAGGTGATACTTTACACGCACAAACAAGTGGGAAATGCAAATCAGTAACATGTTAAGAACAATAATATAGAAAGGCTTCCGGTGTCCCCCGACTTGCACGAAATTATTCAACGCAACGCATCAAGACAATAGGTGTTGGTGTGAGTGCAGGAAGCGCAAAATGCGACCTATTTACTGCGGATACTTCGCTGTTCCTATAAGAACACGAACCCCCTGAAGAAGTTTTTGGGCATCTGTGTGCACGGCTCCATTTCGAGAAACTTCTGAATTTTAGATTATGGTGTTTACGCGCGTGCGAGCATTTTTTATGATAAGCAAGGTTCTTTATAAATGAAAGTCTTACTTCTGAGCGTCAGGATTAAAAATTACAATTATCGTATTATTTGACACGGTAAAGCTGAGTATTTGCATTATCTGCATCAGATATTAACTTGGCTGATAATCTGAATCATGATTTCTCTTTTTCGTTCTAGGAAACTTCAAGAGCTTTCTGATACTTACATTTGCCTCACTAGTGCATGACAGATTCTACCAGTCGCAAATGCATGCGTATTTAGAAAACTCAAGAAAATTTTATCATATTCTTACATTTTTTTGAGTTTTGCCTATTTCAGTTTTTTTCGCTTCTAAAACTTTTAGAGACTTTTGATTTTAAAAGCGCATTTTGGTTGTCTTACGATTGCCTACAGCCTTGTGTATAAAATTTCAAAAACTAATTTGAAAAAATATTAAGAAATTCAGAAAATTTCGAAAACTCTTCTACGCACGTCTTTGTCATGAAAAATTTAGCACGGAAATTTTCCCATAAAGGTTTTTCGCTCAAAATGTCACTGAAATATAGAGATGTAACAGAGATTATACCTAATATTCTAACATTTATAGTTTTCTTTTGAGAGAGTGTTCCACTAGTTGAGAGACTATTTCACCGACCAAGTTTCATGGCTTTTACTTGCTTGCACAATTTCTTTTTTGGGAAGTCTGCAATAAATTTGACTTTGATATTTGCATGCTTGTTACGAAATTCGAAGCAGGAACTGAAACTAACTGGAAAAGTGGGTGTTTCAAAAAAGGCGGTAGTTCTCGCTACTTATTGTCGAAATAGCAGTGGTTACCACGAGTATTTTGTCAATCGTAAAAGCTTACAATAATGGTGAGTGTTCTTAATTAGTCTATTTATTCAACATTTACGTCATATTCAACATCCATAACTTCTTACACCGAATAGTGAAACAAATCGTATCGAAATTGTTTGAAACGCTGTTGATTTTTTTTCTTTTTTTTGAGCACAACAAACGTTCTACTTTACTCAACCTAATATTCGAAGCAGAAGAATAAAAGTGGAAAATCATGTCTATCTGAAGGGACATTCAATCAACACGACTCTTCCCGAAGTCGAAAGAGTAGGTTGCTTATCATAAGCAAGACTGAAGTCGCATTTCATTGGATCTTCAAATTTTTTTTCAGCAAGAAATTTCAAAAAAGTTTGAATATTTCGTTTAGCATGTATCACCGTCGCCCAGCATTGCAGTTTGCTTCATGCGCTAATATAGAATTATTGTTAGCTAATAAACATGGTTTTCTTCCCCTAATTATAGGAAATTACAATTCTTAAAAATTTCAAAAAACTCATGGATCAATCGAACAGTAATAATGTTTAGCCAATATTTGGTTGTTATTTAGGATAATAAGTCCCTTACAGTTTGAGAAAGCTATGCATTAGTGTATTTTGCAAAGAAATTCAGTACTAGGAAATGCACTCCATAGTAGTGATATTTACTGAATTTAGGAACGCAAAATCAAATCCTACGGTATGACGTAATGTGGTTCATAATGTCGCTTTATCAAAGTACACCTTAGACGGGCCTTTGGTTTCAGCAGAATTTTCAAAACTACTACATTTGCCAAAGTATTTGAGCGTGACCTTGTATTCAGATTCTAAATTGCCTGCATGGTCTGTAGGTCTACTATTTACAAATCTTGAAGTGCATACTTCAGCATTTGTGAAGTATACGAAGTCAGAGAGCAAATAAATTAGAATTCGAGTAGAAATTCAACGTAATTGTTCCGTTACCTAATTTCTAAGGACTGTGGCTTGATTATGTTCGCTAGTCAATAAATACCAATTTTTCTAACTTATGGATGGCTAAGTGGAACTGGCTTATGTTATTATACCCGAATGAAAGTAAAAAAATAATTCTCAAGCTAGAAAGCGTCAAACATACCGTACGAGGCCATAGACTCAAATTTGAGAGTAAGCAAGCATTTAGTCAAAGCGAGGAAGTCCAAACTATAGCGAAGTTTCATCGGTAGCAGTTGAAATATGAAGTAAATGAGTAGACTTTTGCAACTTTGCCGACTTTTGCAATCTCTACCTCAAAACAACATATGATTACGATAATATGTGGTCTAATTCTATCATGGTGGCACAAAACGCTTACTTCGTCAATTCTAGGAAACAAGCTAATCTGTTTTCTAATGTCCTAACTAGATGGGGTTTGAGCTAGCAAGAAATGCAATGCAGTCTCTTACGATTGCAGGTACAATTTAAATCTTGAAAGGAAACCTTGTGGTTTTCATTAGTTGTAGTAGTTTTTTTTGTTAATTAAAAAGAAGAGCTCTTCCTACTAGTTTCCGAGAATTTCTTGTTCTATTAAGAAAAACTGCACAACGGAGCGGTGCCCAAGTGGGTGCAGCCATAGCATGGTGCCTCAAAATTACTTATGCTATCTACCGTACTACATGATATTTCGGGACGCCGCTGCTGAAAATAAGCGAAGAGCCAACTGGCGCTCTGAAGTTGCTATAGTTTTAGCCATAATCGAGTGGAATTTGTGGCGTACAAGGCTTAACCGCTCGCACTAAAAGCGAGCACATCTATTACCTCTAATCCTATGGGCAGAAAACAATCCAATCCGTAACTCCTTCTTCAAGTACAGAGTATTATCTGTGCAAAGAAAAGGATTTCGTGTTATACTCGTAAAGCATTTCGTGATTTTTTGCAGCAAAAAGAAATTGCATCAAGTATATGGAAACAGAAATGATCGGTGTTCAAAGGAAGTGATAAGACTATTAACCTTGACATATGAGTGCTTTCTAGTAAACCAGCGCGTAGTTTTGGTCTGTTAGCTTCACTTGTGGGGATCTTCTGGGTGGTCAGTAGCATAAATTTGCGCACACGTTTAACTTGACCATTGAAGCATGCAGTCCTATGGAATGGGAAGAGAAGAGATTATAACTAGAGCAGCAAAGCGCTGAATATCTGCTTTCTAGCCATGATTTTCTTCGTGAAGAAATTGCTGATAGCGTTGTGACTGAGGCAATGAGTTTTAGAGATGATCGCGTCTGATTGCAATGAACTTTCATGCTTCACTGAACGGCGGCCATTTGTTCTCTTCTTTCTAGAGTAGATCAAAGCATCGCGTTCTGCTTTGCTCGGGATTGTATTTTTTTAGCACGTAGGTGAGAGAGTGAATATAAATGCAGTCCTAACTTCACCTCAACCTTCTTAATTTTGCTAATTCTCTCATTCTTCATTTTTGTCAGTTTTTTATGGACTTCCGGGAGGATTAATAGTAATAGGAAAGCAATTCGGAAGTTTGAGCTCTTCAATAACGAAGGTTGGAGGTATTGCTATACCCACTTAGAAGATTTTTTTGAAAATTCAAAATATATTTTTTATGTTTGACATGTGTATATCGAAAATCCACAAAATTCCACATAATTTGGAACGAAAAATTTTTGTGGAAGCTATGAAGATTTTTGCGTTAGATGTAACAAAACCTATATACTCAATAAAAGCAAAGTTTTGCTTAAAAAGATATTTGTTTGAGTGTATGAACTAGCGCCTTAACCCATTGACGACGGTGGACCACCGGTGGCCCACACCTCTTGCAAAGTCATTATTTGCAGGTCTAATATTTTTTCCACATACTAATATTTTTTCCAATCTTTCGCACTTTTGGGACCTGTAGGTTCCGTCGTTCAAGAAAATGTTTGTGGTTGTTTACAAGACAACCTCGCATTTCGTAAATAACAAAACCTTCCGACACCGAAAGTGTTGTGCAAAATCGCGTCGTCCCACAGCGCCGCTAGGCAAAATTAGGCGCCATCGTCAATGGGTCAATATTAAGCGATCAAATGCAGCTTGACCCATTCAAAAATCCATCCAAGCAACTCTTCCGCTGCAACCAAAATTTCGTTGTCGTAACAGTGCTTTGCAAAAAGAAATAA